GTTTTTTCAATAATTTATAATTTCTATAGCATTTGTATTTAAAATGTAATTTTGCTGAATTTTTCTTTTGGGGTAAAATAATATATTTAGAAAAAAAGAAATGCCATATTTTATTTAAAATGAAACATGATATAAAATATCTATATTACAAAGATTCAGGGTACATAATTTAGGAGTTACAAAAAGAAAAAAAAAATGTATGGTAATAGTTTGAAGAAATATGGCTTTTTCGATTCATGATCTTGCTTCCGTTGATATGAGTCATTCGTTCACCACTACAAGTCCGTGTACAAGAGCTTCAGAGACACACCAAGATCAACATTGTTTGTGAATATCTAAGCAGCTCACATCATTACGCCCACATCAACTTCATATACAAAAATATGAATCGTTTCTTTCATAACTTGAAACAATAGCCTTCCCCATCATTATGCCCACATCAACTCCTAGGAGTTCACAGTGTGAATACCTTCCGTGCTAGAAATACCTTCGACAACAACAATAATTTGTTGAGAAGCCTTAGAACAAATGAACAGAGGAGATGCAATTAGAGACATGGTTAACATTGCTAGGTAAGAATAGCTCACCGCTAATTCTCTGTCGATGCTCCTCTTTTTTTGCTTCTCCCATCCCGTTTCTCTGCAACCTTGAGTAGAAGAAGACATGTTTGATTGTTATCAAAAAGTTATTGAACTCCTACGAGACATGTTTGTTTGTTTGAGAACTAGTTCAATTTGAAAAGCAGAACAAAGAGAAATAAAAAAGGAAGTAGACCATATATGTCTGAAAAATGATTGATTGAAAAGCAAATCGATTAAAATCTAGACCACGATCGATTCGATGAGTAAGAAAACAGTCAATAATCAATTAAAAGCTAAACCACATATCAGATATTCAAAACGATCTATCAACCAAGAGAGCAAATCCAAAAGCACAACAAGGAAACGAGAAGAATTGAAAGTGATGCGTATGAAACACTTACCTCAGAACCTCAATCAAACGAGAAGGATTTCATGTTTCGCCGGTGATGAATCCAACTTTCGTTGGGGAAAGGAAATGAGATCTAGACTTCTCTCCGGTCAGATTCATTTACTCCGGCCTAATTGCAAAAAAATCTGGTCTAAAAAACCCTAATGGATTTGTCGCAAAGAGAGGTGAGAGATGATGTTTTTTTGTGTTTCTTTCCTTTGTCGGCAGAAAATAAGAAAATAGAGGTTGGGAGATTGGAAGGGTTGAACGGACAAGATTGGCTCTCCGATATTTGAACGGACAAGATTAGCTCTCCAAAATTATTTTGCCTGGGAAAACAAATTTTAGCTCAAAATTGTTTAGCGGCAACGAATATTTTGTGCCCAAAATTTTCAATTTTTAGAGACATCATCTATTGTAACTATTTGTAGCTATATAAAACCCTATACCCTAAACTTTTATATTGTAAACACTTAGTAAAACGTATGTATATATGTATTAATCTCATATAATTTGTTTATAATCGATTAAAAATATATAACCACAAACCTTAAAACAAACAATTATTTCTTTTAAAAAGTCAAACCCTTATATCAAAGTTACTTATTTAATGTGATTTTCTGAACATTGAACTCTAAACAATGATTAAAACTATGTGAATTCATTTGTAATTATAATTTTAAACCACAATTAAAATTTCATGAATGAAGTATCCAAACTGCACTTTATCAGAAATTATTAAGAATACAAATTTACCTAAAGTAAAACTTTTTTTTTTGACAAACCATATCTATACCCTAATCTATAACCTAAATGGGTAAATCCAAATTATTCAATAAATGGTACAAATCTTAAATATATTATACAAATTCTTTGAATCTCATCAATGTCTAAAGTTACGTATCTAATGTGATACCCTAAACCTTAACCAAATACTCATTTGTTCACAAAAACTAATACCTTATATCAAAAGTTATTTTATGCATTATAATATCCTAAACCCCCCAAATCAAACACTCATTTATGTATTATGATATCCAAAACCATAACCTCAATCTCTAAACTACAAATCAAACATTTATATATATCCGTTAAAAAACCAAAATTATATATCACAAGTTATCTATGTATTGCTATACCCTAAACCCTAAATCAAAAACTCATTACATTTTTTTATTATTATTTTGTATGTTTAATTTTGTTTATATAATTTATTAAACAATAACTTGCTGTATTTTTTATATAGTTTGTGAAACATTAAATCCTAAGCCTACACTCATTTATCCATAAAATTATGATACCCTAAACCTTAAATCCATTTAGATTCAAAAATTCAAATTATTTCATTTATATTAATAAAATTTCAAAGGGTTTCAAATTATGATACAAAACTTTGAAGCATTAATAAAAACGGAAACAAAATAGTAATATAAAAAGAAAGAATATACACATAGTAACATAACAAAATATTAGTCATTTCCAAATTTTCAATCCCCTAATTTACAAAATTATAATCACTATACATATCCATAAAAAGCATACACGAATCCACAAATGAGATTTACTAGTCTTCCACTCTTTTTTTTTTGACAACTTCTATATACACAAGTGATGTCATCTTCTTCCCTTCCCTTCCCTTCTTAGACGAGCCTCTGCCATTCTCTTACAAAATGGGATATTGAGAAGAACATCCAAGCCTCCTCTATATTCTGTTACCAATGCTTAAACAATCCATAAAGCCCACAAAAGTTCAACCATGTTCTTGCCTTCCTCAAAACTTGGGATCTTTGAGCTTCAACAAAACCATTTTCTTAAACCCTAAACGAGAACAAGCTACAACAACAAATCGAAGAAGAAATATAAACTCACAATCTATCTCCCAACATTACCTTCTCTATAACCACAAAACTCACCAATTTCCTCCCTGGAGAATTCTCTGATTTCCTCACCTTTCCCATTCCCACCGGAACTATCAAACTCAGGGATCCCTCCTCCTCCATGTGTTTCTTCTCCGGCGCCGGCTCTGGTGAAGAAGAAAGACTATGGTGCATTACGAAACCGAGCATAGCGGCAGAGCCGCTGCAACAAGCTTTGGATTTTGCGTTTGGAGAGGGAGGAGTTAATTGCGATACCCACGAATTGAAAACGGAATCGAAAACAAAGAGAAGAAGAAGATGAAGATATCAATACCTTCTGGCTATGGTGGATCGCTTGTGAACTTCACTAGCTTTCTTCTTTAACGAAGACTC